TTGTCGTACCAAAGAACCCTTGTATACCAATTTTCACTGTTATTCATCAAATATTGTTTGAAATATTTAAAAAAAACTATTTTAGAAAGTAAATTTAAACTCCCTGTATTTCGGAAGCCACGCATTTTTCGACCCATGTTTATATAAACTTTATGCATTAATTTTAAAAGTTCTATCGAATCTTAAAGTTATGCAACAATAAACTGAAACACCCTGTGTAACAAAAAATCAATATCAGATAAAATTGAATAGTTAAGAATAGCGCTAAATTGAACAACATTCGCCATTTCAAATTACATGAAGGTTCATGAAATTTTAATCTAGATGAAAATTAATCTGTACTTTGTCTTATCATCTTTATCCGATATTGAAAAGACTATCAGTTTTCCAAGTCCTGGGGTTTTGCATCATAGTATTGTTTCTCTGGGCAGCTCGAAGAACCTATCAATTTATCTCAATTACATGATCATCTTCAAATTATGTACCCTTCTCATTTTTTTTCAAATATAACTTAGTCAAAACCAAAGTGACTTTGACAAATGATGGATTGATTTTCTCTTTAGATTTTCCCCTAGTTCATCCTGGTTCATTCAGTCATTTTCATATATTTTCTGTTCCAAACGTTAATAATACAATTCTCGTACCCCCTGCGTCATCTCTTACACTGAGCAACCAGCACTTCAAACACAACGACTGAGCAAGTTTGGATTTTTAAGGCCAGTACTTCTGCCAAAAGGACTACCTGTTGCCTATGCGTGAAAATCCAGATTGTATGACTTCCCTGCTATCAATGAACATGAAATTATTGAAAGTATCGATAACGCCCACTACATTGGCATATTCCCTGAGCCATTGAAAATCAAAACGAACCGTAAAGAAGAAAATTCTGCTAGGTTCATACGTAATCACTGTTCCTCTAGACTGTTACATTACGACACCGAAATTCACGTACAAAAATGAAAAAAAGAGTTATACCCTGACAGTCGATCTCCTTAGAAGAAATCAAAGGAGCTGGCATTCCAAGACTTCCAGTCAAGAGGCTCTGCTCTACAAACGGTATCTTATCTCCATAACTTCCATACTTACAATGTGCTTGTATAAAATCCTGCTCTAAGCAAAACTTATTATCAAAATTATATCAAAAAAAATCTGCCAGTGCATAACCAACTACTTTGGTTTCAATGGGCTTTACAAGACAATTTAAAAATTTTCGGTGACTTATAAAACATGTTAACTTAAGATTATTTTGTAAAAGTCAGGTATTATGTTTTATTTTACGTTTATATTTGTATTGAAGTTAGCATTTGTATTTATTAACACATTGAATTTTGGGAGAAAATAAACGTATACTACTACTAATACCACTACAAGCTACACCAAATCCAGCTTCAAGACTCCGACGAAGAATGTTTAGAAGAGATCCACTTCCAGGAAATCTACTCAAGATGATCTTTAGGTATTATCTCAGCCCTGCCCTTTTGGTGATCAGCAACATAATTTTTACCAAATGGCAACTGATCAAGAAAATCAACAAAGAAGAACTCCAGAACATTGCTACAGTGGTGGATGGAACTCAAGTATCTCCACCCCCGAGTTACTTATGAGGGATGGAGAAGTTATGTTGATACAAAACTGTAATAGAACAAGGCCCAGCACCACGCCACCATAGGAATGTGCACAGATTTAGACATTTAACGATATGTATTGTATCTCTGCATTGTAGCTTAAAAATAACGATTTTTTTTAAAGTAGAATTTCGAAAGTGGAAACTTAAGTCCCTTTTGGTTTGTCTGTTCCCAAAATTGTTTATAAAAGGTGCTTATTCTGCAAAAACGAGATATTAGAGGTACATATAATTGAAAGCAATCTTAGAGATACTTAATTTGTAAAACTTAAGATAATAACTCATATTCATTTTAGAAACAGCAGCCCTTATCTTGAAAAATAAATATAGAGTAAAACGGGGAAATATGCCGCAACGGGTAATACGCCTCACTTCGCTCATAGTTCACTCCGACGGTTACAGAGGGCACCTACCACATTAATCTGTCGCCATAAATGCAAGCAAGTCCGTTACCTTTGAATGTGTGTTAATTACTTGATTTAGTGTAAGATAGACCCAAAAAACTGGTAAGTACAAACCAGAAATTATATTTATATGAGATATGACAGTTTTTTCAAGCTTTCGTGGTCCGATTTAAATAATCCTTATTGCTAGGCAAGGTAAGATCCATAACCTAACATTTAACACATGTACCGCTTCCTGGATTTACACGGGGTTTATGCTTTGAAATGTTACTGTTGAGCAGTGGGGCAATATGCCGCATAAAAGTGACGGTGCGGCATATTACCCCATTTATTTTCTTCATGTGACAGATCCTAATGTGGTGCGTTTTTCTGCTTATTTCAGATTAACACAATGCCACGAGAAGACCTCCGGAATGCAGTATCTGATATTCATGGAGGTAAAGGATCGGTTCGAGAAATAAGTCGTACTTATAATGTTCCAGTTAGAACCTTAATGAGAAGAATGCGGTCGGGAAACTTAAATAAGGTGGCATTAGGTCGCAAAAGCTTACTCAGTATGGTACAAGAAACAAGTTTAGTCAAATATATACAAAACATGTCATCGCACGGCTTTGCTTTATCTGCTCATGATATAAAAAATCTTGCATATTCTCTTGCGATCCAACAAAATATTCCACATAATTTTAATACCGAACGAAAAAGGGCAGGTCAAGATAGGTTTCTCGCCTTCATGAGACGACATCCTGAACTGGCCGTACCTAAGGCTGAAGGAATGTCTACTGCCAGAGCCTAAAGGCATGACGAGACAAGTATTTCTAACTGCTAGGAAACGTTTTGAGAGAAAATAATTTATTAAATAAGCCTCAAAACATTTTTAATATCGATGAAACTGGATTGCAGTCAAATAATAATCCAGGCAAAGTTGTAGTAACTAAAGGCGCTAAAATGGTAAACTGTATCACGAGTGCTGAAAAGGGAGAAACGATTTCCGTTATAACATGTGTAAACGCAGAAGGAAGTTTTTTCCCACCCTGCTGTATATTCAAAGGGAAAAACAAAAAAAGGGAATTTGAAGATGGTCTACTACCTGGAGGAAAGGTTGTTATGGGCGAGAAGTCAGCTTATGTCACATCTGAAATTTTTTTCCAATGGTTTCGTGAATTTTTTGTTCCGCGGAAAGGTGCCGGTAAGATTCTATTAATTATGGATGGACATTCTTCGCACTGTTCTAATGTCGAACTGTTGGATTTTGCTGTAACGAATGTCATCGCTTTGTTTGCCCAGCCACACCACACATTGGCTTCAACCGCTTGATCGTTCATTCTTCAAACCCTTAAAATCTTATTGGGCTCAAACTTGTCAAAACTGGGTTCATAACAATCCTATTCGAAAACTGAACCGATTGCAGTTCGCCCAACTTTTAAATATTGCCTGGTGTAAGGCTGCAACAATTCAAAATGGGACTTCCGGTTTCAGAACCTGTGGGATTTACCCTTTTAATCCCGAAAAAATTCCCGATAATGCTTTTACCATTAACGACGAACCATCAGCTGAAGACAAACACAACCCACAAGACATTCTCAGTGAGGAGCAAAACGACCACAGACCAGGTACTGTCATTGCAGTCAACAACCCCGAAAATAGAAACCCCTTTGAAGCAATTTGACCGGTTCCATGCATGGAACCAGGTCTAAGTGACTATAGACGAAAACAACATGCCGAAATACTAACTTCGCCAGAAACAATTTGCGCAAAACGAACAAAGGAAGAAGTAAAAAGAACAAAACTAAAACAAAAAGAAGAACGGAAAAAAACGCATAGTATTGTTGAGCATAGGTAGTTCCAAAAAAGAAAACTAAAAAATCACCAAGCCCGAATTCGTCAGACTCCGAAACCGAGGTAGTAACCCTAGAAAGCGACGATTCAGAAATCGATACTGATGAGTCAGAATTTTGTGCAGCATGTCATGGGTGTTTTTACGATAAAAAAGATCCCAAATGCGACTGGCTCCAATGTGTAACAAGTTTGAAATCGGTCCATGAAATATGTACGCAATCTGACAGATTTTGCGAAGAGTACGCCGTTATCCAAAGACAAAATCACATTACAGGATATTTACCAGTACCTATACCTAAGTATATTAGCAGTTACATTATTAGGATTGCCTGTCTTGTTTTTACTTTTTGAGTGTTTTCATTGGAAATAAAAGTGTATTTTTGCAATTATCAGCATTTTTTATAAAAAGCTGAATTTCCTAATTTTTACGTTACGAAAACATGTTGCCTTATTACCCAGAGCTAGATGCCATATTACCCATAGGTGCGGGTAATATGACAATATTGAGTCATTGGACATTTTTGATTATAGTATTTTTGCCGATGGGAATAGGGCAACGAGAGTTTTCATACCGCAAACCTGCATGTGTAAGCTCTAAGGTTCAATAATCTTATTGCGACTAGGTCCGATGGAGGTCAGGATATGAGTATTTCAAATTTATGTTGCCATATTTCCCCGCTTTACTCTAAATCTGACAGATTAAGTATAAGTTACAATATTACACGAAAGCACGATCTTAAATTAGTAGTACCTAAAACAACACGTCCCAAAGACTTGATAATTTATAATGTGTCTCCCTAATGCTACTAAGGGAATTAACAACTTATATCTTTCAGACTGTTGATATACTCATTTACAATCTAATGAAAAATAATTTTCTTGAAAACTGAATTTGTAAGACGATAAAACTTTGCTAGATGGTTTCTCTGCCTATGAGTGATAAAAGCTGTAATAAAAGCAATTCCATAGTTTTCGAGAAAAATGGGATAAATATTTGGCAAGTTTTCAAATCATTGTTTTCTGTTTCTCAATATTAACGTGAAATCGAAATTTCACATGCATACATCAAACCAACTGAATGTCAATCTTGTACGTGTCGGCATTACTCCCTATACTACAACATGTGTTTTTTATAGGTTGGACGACTCATCTCAGACAAGCTTGACTAACGTAGGTCATTCCGATCCTACTCTGGGAATCATGGACGTTGGTGAAAACTATGAGATCCGCAGCATCGTCAATTTTAATCGCGGCTTCGCATTTGGGTATGTAACAGATTGTGTGTCAGTCGCAGTTGTCATCGATAAAACTAAGTACCAAATAGGGAAGATTAGTATTTCATATAGAGAAGAATAATGCCTTGGGCTCAATCTGTGGCTGGAAGCATGCAATACTTGACACTACATTTCCATGTAGTTCTACTCACTGATCAACATATCCTAAATAAAATCAACAAAATATTACTATTTTTCATGTGCTAAAACCGGAATGAAACTTATTTTTTCAATATTAGTTCAAGTTTTAGAGATACGGTAATTATATGTGTTCCTGCTGTGACAGTGTTAATATACTGTAATTTACAAGATTGCACGTGCTACATTTTTAGATTCGGCAAGGAAAGATGATGTAATCGGCATGGTTGTGTTACGTTATACATACGTGTACATTATATTGTTTTATATTAGCCATTTTTTCCTCAGTTGGCTGACAGCGTTCATGCAAGATGTCTCGAAAGTGTGTAAACAATCCAGATCAGTTTTGTTACGTGTGAGGTGATGTGACTTTTGCGTCTCAGAGACGGTCTATTACTCCACTAATAACAGAGGCATATCAGCTTTATTTCGGTTGTAAACTAGGTGATCAAAACAAACAGTGGGCACCCCACATCTGCTGTAATACATGTGCTTCAAGTCTGAGGAGCTGGTTAAATGGCAAGAAACGGTCTATGCGCTTTGCTGTCCCAATGGTTTGGAGAGAGCCTACAAATCATATTAATGATTGTTACTTTTGCATGGTACCTTGTGTTGGACAAGCCACAGGTATGTCCAAGAAAAAAAAATCGGTTATTAACTACCCAAACATACCATCTGCGATGAGACCTGTGCCTCACAGTGACGAAAATCCTATTCCAAAACCCCCAGAATCCTACACTTGCGAATCAGAAAACGAATCAGATCATGGCGATCGAGTGATTCGTCAGGAAGAAGATATGCCATCAACGTCAAGAGATCCTGATTTTATACCGAGCACGTCATGCCACCAACCGCACAAAATAACACAGAATTAAATCATCTTGTAAGAGATCTAGAACTTCCAAAATGTAAGGCAGAGTTACTTGGATCAAGACTGCAGCAGTGGAACTTGTTAGAAGACGATGATTCGGTATGTGTTTTTCGTAAACGCCACAAAGAGTTAGAACCATTTTTCAATATGGAGAATAACTTGGTTTTCTGCAGTAACATTAACGGCTTACTGGCGGCTTTAATATAAACTATAACCCAGAAGAATGGAGATTGTTTATAGACAGTTCAACATTGAGTTTAAAGTCAGTGTTATCGCATATTGGAAATATTTTACCATCTCTTCCTGTAGGGTATGCAGTTCACATGAAAGAATCATATGACAATATGAAGTACCTATTGACATGCATAAAATACGATGAGCACCAATGGCATATTTGTGGCGATTTGAAAGTTGTTGCACTTTTACTTGGGCTGCAGCTAGGCTTCACAAAGTTTTGCTGTTTTTTGTGTGAATGGGACAGTCGGGCAAAGGCACTTCATTACACCAGACAAAACTGGCCTGTTCGTCAATTCCTAGAGCCAGGTCAAAAAATGTACAGCATATGCCATTAGTAGATTCGAAAAAAAATTTATTACCACCACTGCATATCAAGTTGGGCCTAATGAAAAACTTTGTCAAGGCATTAGATAGAGATGGGTCAGCTTTTCAATACCTGCGTCAGAAATTTCCAAGGCTAAGTGAGGCAAAGGTTAAACAAGGTATTTTTGTTGGGCCACAGATTCGAAATATTTTGAAAGATACACAGTTTGAAAACACCTTAACAGGTATTGAAAAAACTGCTTGGAATGATTTCCGTCTGGTGGTCACTAATTTCTTGGGAAATAGAAAAGCTGACAACTATAAAACCCTTGTCAAAAATATGCTGTCATCGTATCAAAAGATGGGCTGTAATATGTCTCTTAAGATACATTTCCTACACTCACACCTGGACTTTTTTCCTGACAATTGCGAAGCCGTAAGTGATGAGCACGGCGAACGTTTTCATCAGGATATTTCAACAATTGAAAAAAGGTACCAGGGAAAGTGGAATCCTTCCATGCTTGCAGACTACTGTTGGACTCTTGGTAGAGATGCTTCAGAAACGATCCATGAAAGAACAGCAAAAAGACAGCGCATATACTGATTCTTATAAGTATATGAATCTTGTTACTTTTTTTAATATATCCTTAAAAATAAAAAGTTTTTTTTCTAAACCGCAACTAATTTTTTTATTTCATTGTCATTTTTTGATTCAGCGCCCCAAAATTAACAGGGAAGTGCACTTTTCCCACAAGATACAATTAAAAAACTAAAATTTGTTGTCCAGTGAGTTATTTGCTTGAGCGTGTCTCCTCACCCACATGAAGGAGTCGTCAGAATCCAAACACCGATTTCGTACAACAAAATTCTACGAGTAGGTTTTAGCCTTCCAAGTAATGCCTTAACCGCATTTGGTCCAATGGGCTTTAGTTTGCAAGAAATCATCCATGCAATCTAGCGAAAATAGAAATAAATTCCCGGAAAAATATTGGAAGTTGGATTATTTGATAAGAACGTGTGGTATCATAATTTTATGTGTGTGGTTTACGTCATAATTATAAAAAAAAAGTGAACACCACTGCGACTCGCTTCCCACTAACGATTTTAAAATAAAAATTACCATATCAAGAACTTACATAAAATGTATGTGGTTTAATATACAACTTAGGTTTAAATGTTTTTATGATTACCGTTCGAAGTTGCTTAAATAAGTATAATAACTAAATGATAATTCCAAAAAATCGGGTACACTATCTTTGTATACTAAATGACGTAGAAAATGCAACACCGTCTAGGGGTGCTGTAATCTTAAACATACTTTTACCAGTTTCAGGTCTACTGATAAATAGAAAGTCATTAAAATTTAAGCCCGATTATTCGCAAAATAGCTTTTTTTTATATCGAAACAGCCGCGCAGGCAGAAGCCTAAATGCCGGAACACCGCGGCTGCTATGATGATCCCAAATAAATTTTATTAATACGATTTTTGAACTGCCTAAGGTTAATAGAACTGGGAAAAGCTTCCTCTTGTAGACTGTTCCACAATCTAGACACCCTCGGGACGAAGGAGCGGTCGTATCGGCCAGTTCTGGATGTACGAAGTTTGACACGGTTAGGATGGGACGCCGAAGTCAGGCGGGTCTGTCTGGCAGGCACATCGCGCGGCGGCATCATGGAAGAGAGCTCTGAGGAGCAAAGCCCGTTGGTGTAGCGATAGAAAAGAGCTAGATCGCCGACGGACCGCCGGTGCGAAAGAGTCCCGAGACTGTCTGTTAGAGAAGAGTCATCGATCAGTCGGACCGCCCTACTCTGGACAGCATCGAGCATGGACAATGTAGTCGGGGCGGCAGCACCCCAAATGTGTGAGCAATACTCGAGGCTAGGCCTTATCTGGGCCTTGTATAGAGTGAGAAGGTCATGCGGCGAAAAGTGCTTCTTAGCCCTAAACAAATAGCCTAGCTTTTTCCTAGCAGCTGCAGCTATTGAAGAGATGTGTTCATGCCAGATCAGGTCCTCGGTGATCTGGACTCCGACCAGCCGAAATGAATGGCTTTTGGCAGAACTCGGCCGTCCATCGAAATTGGATGAGCACTAGGACGCTGTTTGTTGAACATTGAACTGTACCAGATTGTTGCATCCCCAAGCAGTGATAGCCTCCAGGTCTCTTTTCAGAGAGGAAGTCGTCGCTAGTCTTCTTTTTTTCCAGCTCAGTGGCAGAGATCCCTGGGGAACACCCGAGTTGACGTTGTGGGATGATGAGGAGAATCCGTCAATTGCGACGGATATCTTGCGGCCAGAGATAAAGTCAGCCACCCATCTGCAAAGCTTTTCTGGGAGGCCATAGGATGGAAGTTTGCTTAAGAGGGCAGCATGCCACAGCTGATCGAATGCTTTCGTGATGTCAAGAGCAACGACATGAGCCTCACCATGAGACTGGATGAGTTTACAGTCCACAGTTGCGTGACGTAAGCTAGGAGGTCCCCTGCGGATCGTTGGTGCCGGAAACCGTACTGCCTGTCGCTAATCAAGCTGTGACGTTCGAGGTAGTCCAGAAGCTCGCGATTTATGCACCTCTCCATCACTTTACTTATAACATTATAACAGAAAGAAGAGTTATAGGCCTGTAGTTGTAAGGGTCGGTCTTAGATCCTTTTTTTGGGATGGGCTGTACATGAGCAAATTTCCAGTTTTCTGGGAAGGTGCCGGATTCATAAGATATCTGGAAGAGACGCGAAAGAACTGGAGCAAGCTACGCTGCACATCTCTTCAGTACAATGGCAGGAATCAAGTCCGGACCATAAGCTTTGTTGATGTCGAGCGACAAGAGCACTCGTCTTACGGTCTTATGCCTGAATGTTACCTCCCGCATAGTGTGGGGAACCCTTTGAATTGACGGCACTTGGGCGTTGGTGGGGACGTCCATGGTGGAGTTGGCAGCAAAGATCTTGGCTAGCACTTCCGCCTTGGCCTTTGAGTCGAATACAATAGTTCCATCCTGACACGTAAGTGGTGGAAGGCTACTCTGTGAGAAGTTCTTTTCAATCTGCTTGGCCAGCGTCCAGAAAGACCGACTGCCATTGCGCTGCGACATTACCCTGTGCCTAACTTTTATATTATGCTGGTTTTTGGCATTGCGAACCGCTTCGTTATATTTCTTTCTGGACTCGACGTCGGCTTGTCTGTTCTCTACAGTGGTAGAGTAGAAGTAGGTTCTGTGTGCCTTGATCTTCTGAGATATCCCTCCTTAATGTCAATAATGTGTTGAAGCTCCTCTGTTCGCTACACACTGATTCGTTAAGCCGCCGCGGCATTAATTGGATTATGTAATTGATGTCTTTTTGATGTGTTGTATCCCAATCCCAATGATTGTAGAGGGTGCGGTGAATTTTGCAACCTTCTTCCCATCATGTCCCATGCGTGTTCGATGAGGGAAATATCTGGAGATCGAGGAGGCTACTGAAGCAAATTTACTCCGGACGATTCCCAAATGTCTAAACTGATACGTGCGACATGAGGCCATGCATTGCCTTGCTAGAAAAACAGAGCTTGCAATGTTTCCAAAAAGGGAAGAAGATGCGGTTGTAATACTTCATGGATATAGCGCTGGGCATGCTACCTCGAATGAACACTAATCGTGACCTGCTGCCGTAAGCAATGGCACCCCATACCATAACACCCACAGTGCGACTGAGTTCCATTCCATATTCCATTCAGGTCTCTCCATACTCCATACAATCGTTGCCAAAGATGCTGTGGGGTCAGAGGTAGTAGAAGATGGGGACGGGATAAAATCAGTCCAAAAGAACTAATCCGGCGAAAAACTGTCTTCGTTGTTATTGCCCTTGCGACAGCATCAAGCAACTGGTTCGCAACTGCCCTTGTTGTGGAAAATCGATCTCCAAGTGCTAGTTGCTTCAAATAACGATCCTGTCGTTCTGTGGTCTATCTTTGGCATCTAGTACCTCTAACTCGTCCGCTTCGGCCTTCTTGGAACCACGCTCGACAGCATCTCATCCCAGTAGGTTCATTTCTATTCAACCGATTAGCAATTTGTTGGGTGATATTAGCGAACGCAATGAAACAAATGGAATCAACACAGGAAAATCACTGCATATTAAGTAAACATGTTCATATTGTTCGAATCCTGATATGACAAAAAAAGCCTTCACAAGAAAGTACGGCTCTGGATGCATTCAACATTTAATCAGCGTATACTTTCATGATAGCAAATATGCTAGTAAGTTTTTATCAAAATTCAATAAATAATTCTGGATGTTGCATTTCATATGTCACTTAGTATAACTTTATGTCAAAAAAATTATATAAAAAGCAGCCTCAGCTATCCCGGAGCACAGCATAGCGGATACGCCACATCAATAGATGGGAAAATAAGGACTTTTAAACTAAAGTAATTTGCACAACTCCCACAACTCTTTATTGACTAATTCGAAGGAATGGTGTTGATTTTTGAGTTGTACGATCATAGAATTTCATTGACGAAATCCGTTTTTCTGTCTGAAATGTTTCCTGTAGGTATATGAATGGCCGAATCCATCTCTATGAGAAAGAAACTCCGCACAAGTACAAGAAAAGGGGCGTTTTCCGAATACCGGATAGAACAATACATAGGGAATACGAGGATGATCCACTGCCCTTGACTACTGTCAATACTATTGTTATCAACCCATCGCAAGACAGGTAATTATTCTATATATAATGAAAGTACTGTCTGAGAGGGAACAATAGAAGAATTTTGGCATATTTTCGTCTGCTATTTTTGTAATGCGTGGGAATGAAACTTATGGAGTCACAAATAATGGAAATGTTTATTTTTAATTGGATAGTTGAGTGTGCTCAAAACTCGTTTTCTACGAATTTTACTTTTAAACTGTATGGCTTGCATTTGTGAATGATTTTTCTTGATGTGTACGAACATATGCAGGTACTGTTGGTTTTCAGAATTTTGGTCTCGTGTTTGGAGATGCAAATATGGACAGCTAGAATATGGGCTCATGACAATAACACTGGACCAGAGATCAATATGAAAGACTTCGGATACACTATCCATATGGGACCAGTCGTAGCCTTGGCAGTCTGTAGATGGAAACCCATCGTTATTTCAGCTGGTAATAGTTAATGTAGATTATAAATGTACACGATGATTCGAAAAACAGTTTCAATATTTGGACTGATAATACATCTCAAGATAACAGAAGTTCCTGTAGCCCTAATTCCCAAAATATTCCCTTGCCAGTATAGAGTGTTGTGAATTTCTACACCACTGGTGGCAACTCACTGAAAATATAATTAATACCATTTTTTACTGGCACGCACTAGTGCATTTCTCTAATCATGTGTTTCTTGCTATGACAGTATGGGTGTATGGCAAAATCAAGAAAAGTCTGATTGGCACGAACACATCTCGTTAATAACGCCAGCTGCTGAGAAAAAACTAGGCTAGTTGTTCAGGCCTAAGAAGTACTTTTCTCCACATGAGCTCCTCACTCTATACATGGCCCAGACAAGACCTAGCCTCGAGTACTGCTCACATGTTTGGGGGTGCTACCGCCCCGACAACATTATCCATGCTCGATGGTGTCCAACTGATCGATGGCTCTTCTCTAACGGACAGTCTCGGGTTCCTCATGGGTTCACAATTAGGATACCTTCCGAAACGAAAAATGCACAACTTTTTTTTCGTAAATGATGTGGATGTGATAACCTCCTATATCGATGGAATTTTGTACTCGGGCGTTTATACAGGGTGTCCGCAAAGTTGGGGTTTTTCTTTACACGTCGCGACGTGTAGATCTTGAAAACATAAGCAATTTTTCTTAGTACCATATACACCAATGTCTTAAGAGAACCGAGATAAAGGGGTCTGCAACATCAAAAATATCTGAATACCGTCCTGTAGCCGCGACCCGCGATATCTCAGACTGGTACCGGCTACTAGCTGAACCCGACGACAGATCTGAGTCGGGGGTCGAGGTCAGTGTGTCAGGTCAGTATGCAACCTTCAACCGACGGTAAAGGGTCACGCGTATAGAGGTAACGAACCCGTATAATCGATTGCGTTTCAAAAAAAGAAAATAATAATGGCACACTCATACATCAATAATGAAATCGTCGATATGTTGTTAATTTATGGCGAATGTCTTCAAAATGATACAGAATCGTCGCGAGTGTATGCAGATCGTTTCCCTAGACGACATCATCCAAGGCCCCGCAGATTTGTGTACCTGGTCCAGAGAGTCAGGAATACGGGCCATTTGGAGGAATTTCGAGGTGGGCACAGTGGGAGGCCTAGACAACCACGAATGTTGCAAGTTGAGGAAGAACTACTGAATCGCGTAGACGAGAATCCCTCAACAAGCACTAGAGACGTGGCTAGAGACGTGCAAGTATCAAAAACTAAAGTGTGGCAAACGTCCAACGTGTACAAGCCCTTCAACCTGACGATTTTCCAGCAAGAGTGCGGTTTTGTGAGTGGTTGTTGCATCAACATGACAATAATCCAGACTTTTTAAAGTGCATATTGGTGACAGACGAATCTACGTTCACGCGTAATGGGGTGAATATCTTTCGCAACACTCATGTTTGGTCAGTAGAAAATCCGCACGCTGTCTGTCGGGCACATTTTCAACAAACATTTTCGGTGAATGTTTGGGCTGGCATGGTGAACGGTATGCTCATTGGACCATTTATTCTCCCAAATCGATTGGACGGGATGCAATACCTAGACTTTCTACGCAACATTTTGCCTTCCTTGTTAGAAGATGTGCAATTAAGTGTAGGACAATCAATGTGGTTTCTGCACGATGGTGCACCGCTTCATTTTAGATGCGAAGTGCGTGAGTTTTTGAATGAATTATTTCCGAATAGGTGGATCGGACGTAATGGACGTGTAGCGTGGTCTGCACCATCGCCGGCGTCTGTTCGGTAGCGCATCAGCTGATTTCATTTTCTGTTGGAGCGGTATGATTTCGGGCAGAGACGTACTTAGCCCTTCTCGTCAACTGGAGAGTGAGTACTTTTTCCTTTATTTTTTTACTTGGTCGCCCTCGTTTCACTACACATTACCTTTGTTATTTCAAGGGTAGTTGTTTCTGAAAAGGAAAACCCCAACTTTGCGGATACCCTGTATAGTCGAACGTGTTGTCAAATCGCAAGGTGAAGGTCATTTTTTAATTCTTCTTACAATTTTACTTCAGAATAGTCACTTATTGCGGGCCCCAATGCTTTCCAATGAAAAAAGAAGCCAACAAATATAAATGGCGCTAGAAAGATAAACATTCATACTTTTCCGAAACTTGAAGCTTTGAACGAGTGCCAAAGCGAACCTTCCCATCTAGGAGTTTGAGATTTTTCACAGTATCACATATTTTCTTCCAACAAATTTGAGCCCGATATGAGTATCGTAAAAATGACCGATTCTTATTCACAAGATCGAAAATCCGATTCAAAGGCCTATCTGACCAACCTCACGCCAGAGTACAAAATTGTATTTATACAGGGTGTGTTCACAGATAAGTCAATTATTTTAACTGCTTGTAGGACTCGTCAAAAGGAGTTGATACACCAAAAATCATCTATATAAAAGTTGCATAATAAAAGAAACAGTGACAGATTAAAAACTTTTAAAAATAATGTTACACAGATTATTTGATATTCTTCTCGACCACTGCCATGTAAAGACTTAGCGTTTTTTGTTTACTACTCTTATCGTTTATCTAAATTTGGCACACCTTTTGTGTTATTGTATGGTTTTCAGTACGAGTCTTTGGTTCGATCAGTTGTATCAGTCTTTTAATAGTGCATATACGTTCTTTTGTATGATTATTTTGTACTAAAAAATGGACCATGTCTACGAAAAAAATGAACCAGGGGTGATATTACTAACATACGGAGAGTGCCGAAACTACCCCTACTGAGCGGGGCCGTAGCAAATGCTTGTTCCGGAGGTTGTTATATTCCGTATACAACTTCTTTCCGTTCAAGGAATTGTACACGCGTTAAGGAATACCTCAGTACCGATTGCCGAGTGGCAATACAAGACCGCCACGAGCCACTTAAGGTCTATTTAATATCACTAACACGTAAAAAGAAGGTGGTAGACAAGGACCAGTCGACCGAGGCGGTACCATTCGCTAGCTTTTCCCAGAGTGTCTTATAAATGTCCGCATGTTTTCACACCTAAGCTATGCAGTCGGTTATCTTCCAAAACAAAGAAATTAATGATGATGGATCCCACGAGCACTAAGAACTCCGGACGTAAACTCACTCCACTCTCGGAATGTCCGGGTAGAGGGTGGGCTCGAGGGAACAACATCGACAAAAAAATTTGTTTTTCGAACATCTGCGGGATTAACAGCAACATTGATGCTATTCATCACTACTTGCAATCCTATCGCCCTGCCGTGCTTGTCTTGGCGGAGACGAGGTGCACTCCAATCTGAGAAAGAACGGGGGAGTTGTGGCTTTTGTCCGCAGCAGTCTTTCCTGTTACAGAGATGTATCTTTGGAATCAGACCGGAAGGACTTTCTGTGGCTTCGTCTCAACTCCAATCCATCACCCAAATTTATTTGCTGCCTTTATCGCTCTCTCTCTCGGACCATAACTGGGATGATCTACTCAACTACCTCGTCGTCCAGATCGACTTCCTGAACATCAATCATCCCGCTTCAGAGGTTCTTTTCGGTGATTTCAATGCCCATAATGAGCTTTGGTTGGGCTCAAATAAGACCGATGCAGCAGGTCCTGCAGTCCAAGCGTTCGCTCTTACTCAAGGGCTGACCCAGCTGGTGACGAGCCCTACTTTTTTCCCCGCGTCTCGTCACACGTCATTAGCCTTCTGAATCTCCTTCTAACCACGAATCCTGTCCCTTACAGCACTGCTGTCTTTTTCCCCCTTTGTAACTCAGGCCACGGTGTTGTGTAGGTTAGGTTTCGGTCAGAACCCGCTGTGGCAGCAGAAATTCGAACAGGCCGCAAAACTTGGCATTACGGACATGCCGACTGGGAGGGGCTCAGAGACTTCTTCTCTAGCTTTCCTTGGAGAGATGTCTGTTTCACTGACGCGGATGCGTCGACTGTCTGTTCTTCAATAACCGAAATTATCCACGTCGGAATGGAGGAATACATTCCTCACACAGTGAAAGTTCCTAAACCAGGGTCCAACGGCTGGTTCAACAAATCGTGTGACACTGCTCGCCAGCAGAAGATCAAGGCCCACAGAACCTACTTACAAAACCCCACTGTAGAGAACAGACAAGCCGACGTCGAGTCCAGAAACAAATATAACGAAGCGGTTCGCAATGCCAAAAACCAGCATGATATAAAAGTTAGGCACAGGGTAATGTCGCAGCGCAATGGCAGTCGGTCTTTCTGGACGCTGGCCAAGCAGATTGAAAAGAACTTCTCACCCAGTAGCCTTCCACCACTTACGTGTCAGAGTGGAACTATTGTATTCGACTCAAAGGCCAAGGCGGAAGTGCTAGCCAAGATCCTTGCTGCCAACTCCACCATGGACGTGCCCCCAAACGCCCAAGTGCCGTCAATTCAAAGGGTTCCCTACACTATGCGGGAGGTGACATTCAGGCATAAGACCATAAGACGAGTGCTCTTGTCTCTCGACATCAACAAAGCTTCTGGTCCGGACTTGTTTCCTGTCATTGTACTGAAGAAGTGTGCAACGAAGCTTGCTCCAGTCCTTTCGCGTCTCTTTCAGATATCTTATGAATCCGGCACCTGCCCAGAAAACTGGAAATTTGATCATGTCCAACCCATCCCACAAAAAGACCGACCCTTACAACTACAGGCTTATAACTCTGCTTTCTGTTATAAGTAAGGTGTTGGAGAGGTGCATAAATCGCGAGCTTCTGCACTACCTCGAACGTTACAGCCTGATTAGCGACAGACAGTATGGTTTCCTACACCAACGATCCACAGGGGACCTCCTCGCTTACGTCACGCAATTGTGGCTGAGGCTCATGTCGTTGGTCTTGACATGACGAAAGCATTCGATCAGCTTTGGCACGCTGCCCTCTTAAGCGAAATTCCATCCTATGGCCTCCCAGAACAGATTTGCAGATGGGTGGCTGACTTTATCTCTGGCCACAAGATATCCGTCGTAATTGACGGGTTCTCCCCTTTATCCCACAACGTCAACGCGGGTGCTCGCCAGGGATCGGTCTTGGCTCCAACACCGTTTCTCTTACATATCAACAGCCTCCTTTCCTGCACGATCAACCCAATCCACTGCTTCGCTGATGACAGCACTCTACATGCAGGAATTCAGAGTGACCAGCCGATCTCTGCCACTGAGCTGGAAAAAAAGAAGACTAGCGACGACTTCCTCCCTGAAAAGAGACCTGGAGGCTATCACTGCTTGGGGACGCAACAATCTGGTACAGTTTAATGCTTCCAAAGCACAGTACTGTACTCTGACGAACAAACAGCGTCCTAGTACTCATCCAATTTCGGTGGACGGCCGAGTTCTGCCAAAAGCCATTCATTTCGGCTGGTCGGAGTCCAGATCACCGAGAACCTGATCTGGCACGAACACATCTGCAGCTTCAGCTGCGGGGAGAAAGCTAGGCTATTTGTGTAGGGCTAAGAAGTAGTCTTCTCCGCATGACCTTCTCACTCTATACAAGGTCCAGATAAGGCCTAGCCTCAAGTATTGCTCACACATTTGGGGTGCTGCCGCCCCGACTACATTGTCCATGCTCGATGCTGTCCAGAGGAGGGCGGTCCGACTGATCGATGCCTCTTCTCTAACAGACAGTCTCGGGACTCTTTCGCACCGGCGGGCCGTCGGCGATCTAGCTCTTTTCTACCGCTACACCAACGGGCTTTGCTCCTCAGAGCTCTCTTCCATGATGCCGCCGCGCGATGTGCCTGCCAGACAGATCCGCCTGACTTTGGCATCCCATCCTAACCGTGTCGAACTTCGTACATCCAGAACTGGCCGATATGACCGCTTCTTTGTCCCGGGGGTATCTAGATTGTGGAACAATTTACAAGAGAAGAGTTTTCATAGTTCTACTAATCTTAGGCAGTTCAAAAATCGTATTAACAAAATTTCGTTGGGATCACCATAGCAGCCGCGGTGTTCCGGCATTTAGGCTTCTGCCTTCGCGGCTGCTTCGATATAAAAAAATGCAGCCGCAGCATGCAGGTTGTATGCGGATAGGTTTCCTTTAAGAAATCATCTGGCCCCACGGATGTTTGCAAATTTAGTTATTAGATTTGTAACACAGGATATTTCAAAGAACATTTTAGAAATGGTCGAAGACAACCCAACAATGAGTACTAGAGACATAGCTGCTCAAGTTGATGTTTCTCGTGGTAAAGTGTCGAAGACAATACGACAGGAACAGTATTCTCCCTATCATTATCAACGGGTATAAGCGTTACAACCAGGAAGATCATCCTAAGAGAGTTGCATTTTGCTAGTGACTTTTAGAACAGTTCGGTAGAAATTAATATTTTACGAAATCAATTTTGTATACCGACGAGGCCACATTTACACTGAATTTCCACAATCATGTTTGAGCAGTAGAAAATCCGCATGCTATAAAAAGAACTCATTTTCAACATAGATTTTCATTAAATGTTTGGGCTTGCGTGGTCAATAGCTTGCTTCTTGGACCCTACTTTTTTCCACCCCCACTGACCGATGAAATTTATTTAGATTTTTTTAGAGACAATCTGCCACAATTATGTATTAGAAGATGTTCCTCTAATGTGAGACAGAATAAGTGGTACCTACATGATAGGGCTCCACCAGATTTTAGACGAGAAGTTCATGAACATCTAAATAATGAGTTTTCGAATAAATGGATAGGGAGCAATGGACCCATCTCTTGGCCTGCACGCTCCCCGCATTTAATGCATTCTGATTTTTTTCTGTGGGGCTATTTGAAAAAGTTGGTGTATCATGATGGAGCAGTAAATACACTGGAATAATAATAATAATAATAATAATAATAATAATAATAATAATAGCAATAATAATAATAATAGCAATAATAATAATAATAATAATAATAATAATTTATTGTCATAAGGTTTACAGTGGTAAATATGGACAACGTCAACATGAGAATAAATAAACACTTTGATAGCACAATTTCACATTTAAAAGCGTTATTGCCACACCAAAACATTAAATCAAAACATCAAAAAAACTATGGACAATTAAAATATTCATTCAGTTCTATTACATAAGCTTTCAATGTTTTTTTGAAGCCATACGTATGGGTGCAGTCTTTTATATGTACAGGCGAAGCATTAAACATTTTTACACCGTTATAGTATGGGCGTTGCTTATATAATCTGGTCTTATGATGGGACACACTTAGATTTTTACAGTTTCTAGTGTTCATGATATTGTAATAATAATTGTTGTTCCTGTACTTATGGAGCTTTTGTTTTGTACCAATACATACAGGGTTATCCAAATTAAGTGTCCACCATTAGTAACTTTGTTATTAGTGAAAATACAAAGTTGTTTGAATTAGCAAACTAGTAGCATTTTTAACGCTGGTAAAAATGAGAAATAAAAAAAAAACAATTGAGAGTCGTTATTTTGATTTTTTTCAGTAAAATAACATTTTTTTAAATGGAAACCCCTGTATATTATATTTTTTTCTGTTAGAGCATCAAATTTTAAACAAAAAAGCTTACAATAACTTTTCTCCTAGGTTACAAATTGTTGAAGTTATGGCCTCCAATCTGAAACAATTAAATTGTATCGACAAACTTTATTTTCAACATCAACTTATATTCTTACAAAATACAATAACAATTTTTTTTAAAGAAGATGCTCGAAAACACCACCTTGTTCTTCAATACATTTTTGGGCACGTTTTTCAACTGCTCGAACTGTCTTAAGTATGGTCCTACCATCTATCTGGGTTATCTTTTCCCTAACTGCAGTCTTTAACGCGTCAAGGTTATCGTACCTTCGCTTGTAAATTTGGTTCTTTAAGTAACCCCACAAGAAGTAATCAAGTGGGTTTAGATCTGGTCATCTGGGAGGCCACTGTATTGGGCCATTTGTTCCTATCCACTGATCATTAAAAGTAGTACTTAGAAAATGATAAGTACCTCTGGAGTTGTGGGCAGGTGCGCCATCTTGCTGAAAATGCAGATGATGTCTACTTATAAGATCCAATTCGTCTAAGAAATTAGTCAGAATTTCTGACATAAATTCCACATATCTTTCACCAGTTAGGGTTCCCTCATAAAAGAACGGGCCAACAATTTCTGAACCAATTATACCGCACCAAACGTTGAAACTGAAACGGACTTGTGGGCCTCTTGGATGTACTAACAAAAGATTTTCTCTTGACCAATAATGGTGGTTTTTTCTATTAAACATTCCAGAATTTGAAAAATTTGATTCATCTGTCCATAAAAGGTAACGAAAGTTATTTACATTTTGGCGACAGAAGCTAAGATACCAATGGCAAAAAACAAGTCTTCTCTCTGGATCCCCTGCCAAAAGCGTTTGAACTGGTCGGTACTTATACGGACTAAATTTGTATTTTTTTTAAAATCCTTTGAACAGTACCATAACTGAAATTAGAGTCCTTGAGAATATCTGCTATTGAATTCTCACGATAAGCTTCAAAATATCCAATAACTGCAATTTCCGTGGCCTCGCTTATTATGAATTCTTTTTTTGCCCTTGTTTTAGCAAAAACATTTTCGTTGCCCCTAAATTTTCGATAAAGTCTCAGAAAATATCGTTCATACGGTTGAATGCGAGCGGGATATAATTCACTGTTCTTGCTCTCAAGGAGGATTTTCTGCACACTAAATAGCATTCTAACATATCACACTTTTCTTCATGGGAGAACATTTTTCTTTAAATTAATGACACAATAAAGCTTATAAACAAGTATTTACACTAATGTTTGACATTATTTGATTTTATCATTGTTTTCCAAAGCCTTCTAGTTGCGAGTATGTCCAGTTTAACAATTTGTCGCTTATCTTTAATGCTGTCAAATCGCGAACGCCATGTTGTTTTCATAGCCGTCTTAATATTATAATACTGCAAATAATTAAAAATATTTATCGTTATTTTGACTTTATTTTTGACTTTAGCGGCAAAGTCATTATGAAATTTTTTGTTTAAAATTTGATGCTTTAACAGAAAAAAATATAATATACAGGGGTTTCCATTCAAAAAAATGTTATTTTACTGAAAAAAATCAAAATACCGACTCTCAATTGTTTTTTTTATTTCTCATTTTTACCAGCGTTAAAAATGCTACTAGTTTGCTAATTCAAACAACTTTGTATTTTCACTAATAACAAAGTTACTAATGGTGGACACTTAATTTGGATAACCCTGTATACTATACATGGAACTGTCAATATTTTCAACTGTTTGCAATACTCTCTGCAAGATGTTATCTGGGGTAATTTTAATGCTGTTCTTAAAATTCGTTTCTGGCATATAAAACCTGGGCAGATTTCAAAGAGTGAAACCAAAATACTGTGCTGTATTGTATTACTGATTGTACATAAGCAGAGTAAACCATTTTCAAGACCTCAGAACTAACTTGATCTTTAATGCTGTGTATTAAATATACTAAGTGACATATAAATCCGAACATCCAGTTTAACTGGTTTTATTTCAATAAAATTTTGTATAAGTACTTAATGAAGCATAATAAGTAAATGATAAAAATTTCAAAATGATTGCACTGCTTTAAAGCCCTTTGACCTTTAATAATGTGTGGATGCACCCTGATGTGCTACGCATTCTCCAACGCGCCTAGGCATGCTTCTGATCAGGTGGTCAATGTCCTCCTGTCGTATCTCATTCCAGGCAACCACCAACTCCTCTCGAAGTGCTTCTAGAGTCTGAGGAGGACGTTGCAAATTGAGCAATCTCCTACCCATCATATACCACACGTGCTCAATTGGGGATAAGTCGGAAGATCTTGGTGGCCATGGTAACAATGTGACATCATTATGTTGAAAGAAGTCTATTGTGACTCTTGCAACATGTGGTCGGGCATTATCTTGTTGGAAAGTTGGATCTGCCAGGGTGTCAAGATAGGGTAAAAGATGGGGTTCTAGAACTTCGTGGATATAACGCTGCGCGTTCATGTTACCTCTGATGAAGATTAAAGGTGACCTGGAACCATAAGCTAAAGCACCCCAAACCATAACTCCAACAGTGTGATGAACATGTGCTTCAACAAAAAACTGTGGATTCCTCCTTTCACCACGTCGCCTTCTAACCCTGGCACGACCATCGTGCATGCCTAAACAAAATCGAGACTCGTCACTAAAGACAATACTGTTCCATTCCTGATCCCAGAGTGACCGTTGTCTGCACCACTCAAGGCAATTACGTCGGTGTTCTCGAGTTAAGGGGAGGACCCAGTGTGGCCGGTATGAAAACAAGCCAAAACTTCTCATTCGTCGGTAAACACTTCGCATGCCAATAGGTCTTCCGTGTTCTGCAAACCATTCATTTGCAATGGACCTGGTAGTGGAGAAACGGTCCCTTAAGGCCAATAATCTTAGGCGGCGATCTTCACGGTCTGTTGTTCTACGGCGGCGTCCAGTGCCCCTTGCTCTTTGCGTACGGCCTTCTCGAAGCCATGCCTGACAACACCTAACCACAGTGTCTACACTTCTTTGCACTCTAACTGCAATTTCCCGAAAAGAAAGTCCGGCTTCCCGAAGTCCCACTATACGGCCCCTATCAAACTCACTAAGTTGACGAAATCGTACAGGTCTCCGTACTCTAGGCGTCGTAACCGATCGTAAAGGATGTCAAGAACCAAAATCCGCCAACGTTGATTCTTTACTGCGGCTGAAATATTCATTTTTGAAGCGTTAGTGAATTAAAAAAAAAGCAGTATAAAAACCGGAATGTCCAACTGATAAGGCTGAAAATTTTTTCACTTGTTATTTACAGTAAGATAAATACATTCACCAACTTTTATTAAAATAAAACCATTTAAACTGGGTGTTCGGATTTATATGTCACTTAGTATAGCAGGCTGAGTTTATTTTCGATAGCACTGCAGTTATTTGTTTTGACCACTTCAATGAATGGTCTATTTTCACACCTAGAAACTGTGCAGCGTTCGTTTGAACTACGGTTTTTCCGTTTAATTTCACATAAAGTGATTTGGTAGAGTCGTTATTGAAGTATACAATATTCGTTTTATCGATGTTCAAATACTGTAAGTTGTCATTGCACCATTTAGCTACATTATTTGCAAGCTTAGTTGATTTTTGAGACAACTGCTCTATGTTTATGTCAGCCACTATACCCGGTATATCATTAGCGTACATGAGTAACGGAGTTAAGCTAAAATAGATATGGATAAATTATTTATGTACGCTAAAAATAAGATTGGTCCAATGATTGACCCCTGTGGAACCCCCATATTAATTCTCGCTTATTTCGAATAACATAAATCACCATTTTCAGCTGTAATACTGACTACTTGATAACGATTGTTTAAATATGATCTCATTAGGTCACTGGCGATTCCTATGATTCCATAGTGTTCCAGTTTTAAGAGAAGTATCTCATGATTTATTGAATCAAATGCTTTGGTCAAAGTACGGTTACTTTTTAACCAGTATCTAGTCGAGTAAGTAATATACTTAGGAAATCTCTAATGGCATCTTTTGTTGATCTTTTTGGCAAGAAGCCATATTGGTTTATGACGAAGATATTATTCTAAATAAAAAATGATACTAGTCTATTGTAGATTATAATATCAAATATTTTGGATAAAATAGATACTAGTGCAACCGGTCTGCAGTTTGACATACCGTCTTTCAATCCTTTCTTGAATACTAGAATAATTTAACAGTTTAAGTTTATTGCGGGACGTGCCAGTTAAAAAACATTAATTTATGATAACAGAAATAGGGTGACAGATAATGTCAACAACTACATTTGTAGGGATCTCATCCACACCTGTTGAATATTTTGGCGGTAGCTGTCTAATTACATCATATACTTCATGTGGAGTTGTAGGTTTGAGAAAAAGACTTCAACAGCGCAACGAAAAAGCTTGTGTTTTAATTTGTGGGCACCAGGACTTTATTTTCGAAGCTTGTAAGGAGTCGTGGTTTCACCAAGCAAATTTTGCGTTAATCAAACAGATGAGGACAATTTTGGGCAGTTTTTGTAAAAACGGTATCCATTTAACTTGATAATGATTTTTTTAAATAATTCTTCATAATGTAAACTAACTCTCTTGTTATTCAACTTTTATATAGGTGATACCAGAGATCAACTCCTTTTGACGAGTTCGACGAGCTGTTTTTCTGCAATTTTCTTCGGAAGGCATTCTAACTGTCGAATATTCGAGTAAAGAATCTAGAAAAAATTACTTTTGACTGAAATATCTGGTGAATTGTCATATCGTTATTTGGAGGTCATTGTTTACGTAGTGGACTGATATATGATTCGCCAGGTCAGGTCGTGGAATTTTAGTTCTGACTCATAAACATTTTGAAGGATTGACATGAACAAAGAACAAACTTTTTTCTGTGCCTCTGATATTCGATTGTTTTACGGCTGTAATCTTGAGAGTTTTCCATTTTGCGTTTGATTTTTATATTGCACGTGTAAAACACAAAAATATTTCTGTCCGATATTCGCTAGGTTTTTTAATAACCGCTATGTCTGAAAAAACTTATCTATGACATAATATATGTTATTCAAGGTAGCCGAGATCGCTCATTAAAGATCTGGAACTACGAATCTCTTGAGACTGAGCTGGTACAGAACTTCGAGGACGACATTTTCTCAGTGGCGCTGCATCCGACCGGACTGTATGCTGTAGTGGGTTTCTCGGACAAGCTCCGTTTCATGACGATCATGATCGACGACATCCTAAACACTAAGGAGTTCAACATACGAGCTTGCAGGCTGACAAGTTTCAGCAAACTGGGCCATATGTTTGCTGCTACGAATGGAAACATTATCCAGATCTATTCTAGCATCAATTTTCAACAAATGTATGTGTTGAAAGGACATAATGGAGAGGTTAGTATGGAATATACATAGAAGTATGCAGATTATGCTAAAGCCTACTTCATTTAAAAGGGGGATGTCAAGCACAATAATACTAGCGGAGGGGGATGGGGTAGATATGTGTTATCATGAACGAAATGATCGAATCATCCATATGCAGATTGGATGGAAAATGATAAGAGATGGGATTCATTTAACACATATCAACTTCTGAAAGTGATATAAGTATCATACGTAGACCAATACCTGAATGGATGAATTATAAAAGTAAGGACATACCGGCCTCTATGAGTAGCCGGCACATAGGCCACTTAAACGGGCCCTTATGCACCCCTACATCCCCTAAGCCTCCAGCCCCAATCTTCCAACAAAATTGAGTGTACCCTTGAGTCCCAGCTCCTTAACATTACGAGTATATGGATCCGAAGTACTGTAGTAGCTCCGAGTCTCACAGCGACACAGAACATATGCCGGGGACTCTTCTTCTACTCGTACCCGTAGCCCTTACACATGGGATCCTCAGCCACCGCAGGTGGCGCCTCAACGTATTATGGCCAGGCAACAGTCCCACCAGCAACCTTAGGTTAACTCTATTCGAAGATGAGCAAAAGCATCAATCCATAACACTGAGCCCTACGATGAGCTCCGTTGGCTGACAGAGATGTTTAGAGGCGCTTCTCCATTTCTGAGAGTTTTGTCTTGCAATTTACTTCTCCATCTTCATGCTGACTCTTTGCGTGGGCACCCCTAATTCTGGCTCAGGACCAACGAGCTTGCTCGCTGATCCTGTTCTCGTAAGAGGGTCCCCTATACATCGTACATCTAGTAACGCAGGTATTCACTAAGATTTCGGCAGACAAGCATACCACGGATGTCGTTTCCTGTGTAAAAACTTTTTGAAGAGCAGGGTGTAGCAAATTTTTACAGGAAAGGATCCACAGAATTATAGTCAAAAGATGCTAAATATGCAATATGTTGGACTAGCTGAATTTTCAGGGTGGTGCCACGGCAGCCCCTGACACCCTTCTGCGGGCGCCCCGGATTCAAACATGAGACTACTGAGACTAGATGCAGTAGTAGCTTGATATCAACAAACGGCACATGTATTATGTAAAAAACCTATAAACCGTCAAAAAACCTATGAAATGTCATCTGGCAGACTAGGTAGTTTTTAGAGTGCAAACAGTCATTACAAGTTTGCTCACTAGGATCGTTGTGAGTGTCCATCTATGGAGAAATTGTATCAGCTACTAGCATTGTTGGTTGCATATGTTTTGTGAAGCCGAAGAGCCTGTAGTTCTTATATCTGGGAAGAAAGTTGGTTGAATAGCAAAATCGCATCTGGATTATTATGTGTATTGGTGTGCATGTGCATAAAATCAGTGATATTTGCTGTGTGAGAAATTATTATGGAATGATGCCAATTAGCTGTGTCCGACGGGTCATTTATATGTTGTCCTTTTTGAAGACTGGTTATGTTCAAAGATATAAATTATATCACGTTTTTTTGGTGCTTGCACAAAATCTATTTTTCGAAAGACCAAACGTAGGCCATTGAGTAGCGTTTATATGTATTTAAAACGCCTGAGCACCTAATTCGGGTAGACCGCCGATTTTCAGGTACCCCCCACTTAGATAGATACGCAGGTATTCAAAGTGCATTATAAACGGTACTGAATGCCCCACTTTTGGTATTTCAGAAAATAAGATACGTCTGGAAGCCCTGGGATCTTACTCTAATTAGCAAAAAGACCGATGTGCAATTCCTGCATAGGTGGTACTTACAAAGACTATGTGTGAACTGAGTATCTATACCTACAGTATATTCAGATAAGAGATAGACCGGATGTAAACAAAAGGTTCGGGTGATTTTCACGCTAACGCCGCCGTCTCGACGTAAAACAGGAGCCCTCATTGGTCAATTCGCAATTAAATGCCTATGCCGAGCGGCAGAGCAGTCGTATCAAGGCAGAGTCACATTCAGGTTCAGACGTGTTACGTATGTCGTGTGCATCAGTGCAATTTGATATTTCTTTGGACGTTTTCGTTTGTTATCTTATTAAGTTGTTGAGTTTGTCGTTGTTATTGTTATACCTTGTTATTGATTGTTATTGTTATCAACTGCTTGCGCAAAATGCCCAGTAGTACAGATACTGCCGATGAAGTTGTAAACTCCTGTAGTCCACCTAGGAAACGCTCTAAAAAAAGACACCTGAGTGCAGAAATGAAAGAGGTCACTTTGAATATATATAAGATCGAGCGCGAGGAGAACGAGGCATCAACCATCAAAGAAATTGTTGTGAAGGTTTCTCACAAAGTTGGGGTGTGTCGCGCATCAGTGTTTAATGTGTTAAGACAATACAAAAAAAATCACACCTTTTCTGAGCCAATGACCAGTTAACATCGCAAAAGTATTGTTAAGTCATTGGATGAAGCTGATAAGCATGCGATTAGGAGGAAAGTGCATGAATTCTTCTTTAGGAATGAAATACCTACTATAGATAAAGTACTGCAGGAGGTAAATGGAGATACAACGTTGCCAAATTTCAAACGATCAACTTTCCATGCGTTACTGAAGCATTTAAATTTCAAATGGAAAAAACGGGGTCGTAATAGTTTACTACTGGATAGAGAAGAAATTGTGCTATGGAGGAGGGATTATTTAACAAAAATTGGGAAATATAGAAATCAAAACAGGAAGATTTATTACCTTGATGAAACGTGGGTAAACGCAGGACACACTACAAGTAAAGTATGGGTTGATGATTCTGTAACTTCATCCAGGAGGGCCTTTCTAGATGGACTGTCCACCGGATTAAAAAATCCAGCAGGTAAATACGAGTAATAGACAACAATCGGATGTTTTTCAAACCTTGGGAACAACGTTCTAAACATTAATTCCAGGGGGCAGATAAAACATATTACAGGTAACAAAACTTTTATAACTTTCGATAAAATGCGTGGATGTTTTATTGTCATTTTCATTTGTTAGAACTTTTTTAAGCCATGTTTTTATGTGTTTTCGATATTTCAATAATTTTTTAATATAATCTTAAAATATGTCGAATATTATAAACTTAAAAAAAGTTACTAAGTTTTATATTGTGTACCGTTCCTAATATTTCTAATCATTTTAATTCATACTTTAAGCTTTATAAAGTTATAATTTGTTAATATTAATATTTGCGCGTATTTCAGGTTCCTGATCATTCATCTTTAAAGGTTTATAACTTTAAATTAAATTGTGAAGCGCTGAGTAATCATACGACGTTCAATATTCTTTCTTTCAATATGACTAAATAATCCCAATTATAGCAATCTGATACTCATGTCTCAATGTTTTTTCGCTGAATGTGATGAAAACATTTGAAAAAGGTTCGCTTATTGAAATAAATCTACACCAGTTAGTACTTCGATTTCGAGGTAAAGGGAAAAGGCTCATTATCTGCCATATTGGCAGTGAGGATGGATTTGTTGTTGACGGTCTGTGGTGCTTTGAGTCTAAGAAAACTGGAGATTACCACGAGGAAATGAATGGCGAATCGTTTGAACAGTGGTTTTCAAAAATTTTACCGAACTTAGAGGAAAACGCAGTAATTGTGTTGGATAATGCGCCTTATCATTCTCGAAGAATGGAGAAGGTCCCAACAACGGCTTCAAGGAAAGTTGATGTTCAAAATTGGCTCCCCTCGAAAAATATCAACTTTGAAGAAGCAATGCTGAAAGTACAATTATTAAGAATTGTCAAGGATCACAAGGCGGAATATCAAAAATACGCCATTGACGAAATGGCAGCAAGTCAAAATAAAACTGTGCTCCGTTTACCTCCATACCATTGCGAGCTCAATCCCATTGAGCTCATATGGGCAGAGGTTAAAAATTATATAGCTAAGCACAATACAACTTTTAAATTTTGTGACCTCAAAGGACTTTTCAAAGCAGCACTAGAATTAACAGCGCAAAAATGGGAAAACTGCATTAAGCACGTGAAAGACAAAGTTGAAAAGAGAATGTGGGAACTGGACAATATTTTAGAGGAACAAGTCGAGCCATTCATTATTGACGTTGGTGCTTCAGGCAGTAGCGATGATGAAAGCTCATCAAGCTCATCTTTCCAATAAAAGATGTCGTTCATCAAATTCGGTAAGTTATAAGTAATTATAAAGCTACTGTATTTTTTAATTAATTATTGACATTTTTGAACCCATTTTGGCAAAACCTATTCAAGAATCTACTTTCTGACAATGTTCAACCATGCACATTTTTTTACGTTTTGAACGTTTTAATTTGGTTACATATTTACCTAGAAATCAAAAAATATACTAATCAATATTCTAAAAGCAATTTTAAGAGATATACGATTATTTTTAATTTAGGCTAATTTAAACGCCATTTTGAGATTATATTCGACTGTATTTCACCAAACATCAGGCGGCATCCGAAGCTGGAAATCGAAGCGAAAATTTTGAAACCCTTATGTATATTTAGATCATTATATATTTCTTACCCCATCCCCACATGATCCTATATCCATCACCAATCGTATACACATCGAATTGTGCTAATTTACTACAAAGTTACGCAAAGCAGCATCTACTATCTAAAATATGTACTGCGTGACTCTTAATACGTCCCTGCCGAATGTTACAGCGTTCGATGATCACGTGGTCTTGTTTATGTCCGGTCTATCTCTTATCTGAATATACTGTAGTGTAAAGAGTAACTCCAAAAAAGGCAGTTTTTTTGACATTATACTGGTTTTTTTGACATGTAGGTTTTTCTACAAGATGTTAGCTTAGCAGTTAGTTGTACGTGTTGCCTAAAAGTAATGAGGCTTCAGTTATCAATGTTTGGCTCTGATATGATGTAAAATCTGCTTCAGAGATGGCATTACTGGAGATCTAAGCTGTAAGTTGTATGTGTTGATGATAACTCCATTGGATTCTTGTCTCAAATACACGTACTTGAGATTCAAACCTAGAAATTAGTTGCGCATCCCCTTTTTCTTATCCATTCTAGAAATTATATATGCAAATTTGCTGAATTTCAAAAATGAGACATACATACATGCTAACAGTAATTACCCGCAAAGCGGACACGGTGGTGATTTCCCGTAATTCTCCTCGTTTTTCGTAATTTATAACTTTGAACGTAACCTCTCTTCAGAAAGCACATCACAAATAACTCGTCGGGCACAGCTAATAGATTTACTTCATTGGCAGCATATTCCATACTGATTTTCTCACACAACTGATATGATTTATACACGTGCAGACCAGTACACAATCATCCAGATGCGATCCTGCTAATCAACCAGCTTTCTTCTCAGAGATGAAAACTACAGACCATTCGGCTTCACAAAACATATGCAACTAACAATGCATGTAGTTTAGTTGAGTGGTTCCTCCATAGATGGACACTCACAACGATCCTAGTAAGCAAACGTAGAATGACTGTTTGCACCATAGAAACTAACTAGTCTGCAAGATGACATTTTACAGTTTTTTTACGCTTTATAGGTTGTCCCTTCAACATTTTATCAGCGTATTCTTCCATGATGGCAAATATGTTCACAAGTTTCTATCAAAATTCAATAAATAATTCTGGGTTTTGCACTTTATATGTCACTTAGTCATCAAGAAATGGTACGATTGAACATGTTTTCCCTTGTGTCAAGAATATGAAGCAATCTACAAAACCAGCTCTATCTGATTCTATTGACATTAACCAGTTAAAACTAACAGTCGCGGTACATAAGTACTTAGGCTATGACTTTGCTGCTGCTACAGTATAAATTAAAAAAAAATCAATCTGTGTGTTTCAAGATAACTAGCATGTCATGGTCCTTTGACGATAGCATTCTGGCTACTACAGGCAGCGAAGGAGCAGTATATGGTTGGGACATCGCTTCCTCCACTCGACAGTATGAAACTATCATCAAGTCAAACAACTTCAAATCTGCCGCCATTTCAAAGGACTCCAGAAGCATCTATGCAGTAGGTACTGACGGCCACTTGAGAGAACTGATGAATTCTAATGTCTACAGGGATGTGGTGATTGCGGATCATCAAACTCCACTGGATGCGGTTGTGTTGTCGGCGCTTGACACTATGTTGTTTGTGTCAGGTAAGGAAACTGTTTCACGTGTCGTGCAAGCTATGACAGGTATTCTTATACCCGTTTTACAGTCAGCAAGATGCAAAAGTATGTTTAGTAAACAGCTTGAGAGATAGGAAATTTTTTTCGTATACTGGTCTTCGCATGATGGTTCCGTGGCATGTGCCCACGAGACGGCGTGGTGCAACTAGAAAGCGATTGAATATACCTTACCAATCCAGGTTGTTTCACTTGAATGTCGCCAGATGGGTTATCAAGCAACTTGGAAGAATGAAGCGACAGTGGCGTGGGTAGGATTGAACTTAGTCGATCGATCGGAATGGTAAAGATGCAGTTCGAGTCCCACCGGCGCCCATCTCTCAAGTTGTTGTTTACGAAACACACCAGTTTCATTGCTCCCCGTCGAACTTGCTGACTGCCTAAATTTATGCATTCAAATTCTGTAGCGGCAAGCTTCCAAAAACATTCTTCTACTTATTATATTTTTAGGAAATCAAGGAGTCATATATAACGTCAAATTGCCGCTAATGGAGAAAGCGGAGTTCATAGAATACATGATGCATAGTAATAGTGCGCCGAAGGTGAGTTTATATATTTTAAGTTAGGCCTCAAAACACCGTATTGGCAGAAAGGTTGCCATAACATTACTTCCGGAAAAAATGGCACTGTACCGGTGAAGTTAAACTCATTAAGTTCTAAAAAGTTCACGTGGTAAAAATATGTTGTAGCTATTTATCAGAAACAACCAAGTTTGGACATGAAATGGGATTCATTTCACCGAACAAGTCTTTGCGTTACTTTTAGATGGTATTATCATCAGATGACAGATACATGATCACAGGAACGGTAGACGGTTATCTTTGTTTTTGGAAGCTGTTGAACATAGAAGACAAGGCCATCAAACTTGATCTAGTTGCAGCGAATGAAATTCTGATATCCAAACATGTCCTTGAGGAAAAAATGGAAACAATTAAAAACTTGTCATTGAGAATGAAGGAATTAGAGACAGAACATTCTTATCAAGTACGACAGAATGAAGCAGTGCATGCTTTAAAGATGAAGGATATCCATGCAGGGTACTGTAATGCAATTGAAGAATTGAAGCTTAAAAATGAGGTAATTTTTTAGTTTAACGAAAAAACGAACATACATGTTCTTCTGGGCAAATTGTCGCCTTCCGGGAAATTAAATTGCCGATCTTCTGGCAAAGAAAGGGGCTATCCATTCTTCATGGAACCTGTCACAGCGATCGGGAATATATACAATATGGCTAAGCAAATAAGATGTGCAGAGATGGATGTTCATCTCGAGGGTGTGTATCGACTATTAAAAACTGAATAGTGGGAGTGGGATACGTCTAGGGGTGACGCCTCCATGATTCAAGTCCAGCAAGATCATTTTAGCAATACAGGATACAGCAATTTGTACCATTTCGAAAAAAAATTACAGGTTTTGTCGTGTTATGGGAGGGGCGCGTCCCGCGTTAAATAAAAAAACATGCTTCGTACTGACTGAGCGTGGAGGGAGACGAAAGTGCGTTTTGTGTAGAAGCCTCGCAATAATTGCCAGAATCAGATAAATTAATCTTGAAGGGGCTTTGCTCCAAAAGAAGGGTATGAACAATTTCTCCAAACTAGCTGATCCACTTCCTCAGAAGTCAGTGGAACAGATATTAATAGATGTGACCATAACAGGCGAATGAATCGCAGTGGAGGAGACTGATTGACCCACCCAAAAAACACAACCTAAGTCCTTCCGAGGGTTTTGTACATGACAAACTTTATCTATATCCTTCTCTTTGGAACAGTCGCAGTGCTCCTTTCCAGCTGGTTCATTGCAAAGACATTACTAATCTACTTCTCGTCTAATCTTTTTCTTTCTACTGACTTCCGCAATCATATCAAGATCAAAGAACCTTATTTGATTCCCCAGTGGTTTTCAGCAAATGGAAGCTGAGCACCTTCAAGAAATAAACAATATAAACGCTCAGATAACCAAGAAGAATCAAGATCATCAGCTCTTTGTACAAAAGCTAGAGGCCAGTTATAACGAAAAGCTGATCGTTGAGTACAACAAGTACATTAGTATGGAGAGTAAAATGGAGCAAATGTTGAAAGAGGAGGAAGAAAGGTATTATTCAGAAGAATAACGTTTGGGTATCGTTCCTATTCATACTTAGCCGTGACGTGGCAGTGCTGTGACCGGCTGTGATCCGCCCGGCGAAACTAAAAACATTCTTCCTGGAATTTCAATGAACTGATTCACAGTAGACCGGCACGAGAAAGTGGCCGTGTTCTCAGTGCCCTCGACGACGCCGTACCACGATCATCGCATTGTTTTGGACGAATATTTTTCGATTTTCATGGCCGTGTTTTGATGTAATTTCGTGAATATTTTGATATGCTTGGTCAAAGGCAAAATACATGGACTTCTGTTTTCTTCTTCTTCATCCAGAATTAATTTTCGACCTCACGTGAACACAACGATCACGGAGAAAAATACTGACGGGTGTGAATTGAAAACACTGTGAGCTCGTCAGCGAGAATCACTGACACGTCACGGCACTGTCACGTCACGGCTGAGTGTGATTGGACCTTTAATCTATCTATCGAGGAAAGAAACTAAGCCTAAACATATTCACACATGCTTTACGTGATCGGTCTCCAGAATGCAAGCAGCCGGCGAGTATGCATGCACCGCGGTGTCATCTCCCAGGTTTGGTTTGGCATTGGTCCTGTATATTGGCTCGACCGATTCTGCTCCATAACAGTTATGCTCCTCGTTTCTTGGGTTATATCAACGTGCTGATCACGCACTGAACACGAGATAGTTATGTTTTGGCTTAGAGTCTTTCTTGGGTAAACCCTATTTCACGAGCATCTATTACGTTTTGCCGCGTACTGAGGTGAACAGCTGATAAGCAAGTGACATCTGTAATAATACTCGTAGATTTAAACGGCAATAATGCAAGTGACCTAAATACTCGTCTAAATACCATATGTCATATTAGCAATAAATGGCAAGAAGTCAAACCAAAAAACAGGAGAGCATAAAGGGTACGCCCAAGTTTGGGCACCTTCACGTCTATAGGGTGTCACCCCAAACAACAGCAAATGAGATGGTAAATCTGTTGAAATCCAAATTCTCTGAGGTTACATGTGAGCCACTGAAGTCCAACCATCCTGAAGAATATGCATCCTTCAAAGTAGGACCACATGAATCACACTACAAGGCTGCGATGGATCCTGAAGTATGGCCAGCAGGGACCTACATACATTTTTAGATACTCATCGGAGCAGGAAAATAAATTATTTACCACAAACTTGATACTGACTTAAACTTTTGTTTGATCCAAATAAAAAATTCAGTCAGTAAGAAATAAAACAAATTTGCTAGAGGCTTTTTTATTGGACAGTTTGATGTATGATGTAGTCTGTCAGAAAATTTCTTAAATAGCGATAACTAGCCAATTTCAAACTCACTGATCATAATACTGTTGCGCGTTTTTCAAGAAAATCGGCCATACATGATGGTGTACTGATTTTATGTAGTGAACGTTATTTAACCAGAGAGAGGAAGGATTTATATGCATTATCAATTAAAAAAGTTTGTGAGATTAGTGCGATTGAAATATGTGACATAGATGTGTTAGTGGTAGGCATTCATAGGTCACCAAACACTGATTTTAACCACTTTTGGCTAACTTTTAACAGTCTGTTAGATAAATATGTCATGATACAAAGTAAGCATTCAGAAAAAAGGAGTATCTATTCCGGCTTGCATATGTACATGTTAATCAACAGCTTTACTTGTTTGCTCAAATGCGTGTTTTCCTCAAATCAAAATTAAACATTTCTATCAATAATATATACCTTACTTACATTATTTCCCATTACGCAAATAATTTGGGTGTATATTTCGGTAAAGATGTCAGGTTCTAAGAGCTTGTTAGCCATGAGTGTAGGTCTAGTTATCTCAGACTAAGGCTTTATATGCAAATAAAACTATATTTAATAGAAAAATTAAGCTGCCGAAAAATCAAAATATACTAAGCGACATATAAATCCGAACACCCAGTTTAAATGGTTTTATTTTAATAAAATTTTGTATAAGTACTTAATGAAGCATAATAAGTAAATGATAAAAATTTCAAAATGATTGCATTGCTTTAAAGCCCTTTGACCTTTAATAATGTGTGGATGCACCCTGATGTGCTACGCATTCTCCAACGCGCCTAGGCATGCTTCTGATCAGGTGGTCAATGTCCTCCTGTGGTATCTCATTCCAGGCAACCACCAACTCCTCTCGAAGTGCTTCTAGAGTCTGAGGAGGACGTTGCAAATTGAGCAATCTCCTACCCATCATATCCCACACGTGATCAATTGGGGATAAGTCGGGAGATCTTGGTGGTCATGGTAACAATGTGACATCATTATGTTGAAAGAAGTCTATTGTGACTCTTGCAACATGTGGTCGGGCATTATCTTGTTGGAAAGTTGGATCTGCCAGGGTGTCAAGATAGGGTAAAAGATGGGGTACTAGAACTTCGTGGATATAACGCTACGCGTTCATGTTACCTCTGATGAAGATTAAAGGTGACCTGGAACCATAAGCTATAGCACCCCAAACCATAACTCCAACAGTGTGATGAACATGTCTTTCAACAAAAAACTGTGGATTCCTCCTTTCACCATGTCGCCTTCTAACCCTGGCATGACTATCGTGCATGCCTAAACAAAATCGAGACTCGTCACTAAAGACAATACTGTTCCATTCCTGATCCCAGAGTGACCGTTGTCTGCACCACTCAAGGCGACTACCTCGGTGTTCTCGAGTTAAAGGGAGGACCCAGTGTGGCCGGTATGAAAACAAGCCAAAACTTCTCATTCGTCGGTAAACACTTCGCATGCCAATAGGTCTTCCGTGTTATGCAAACCATTCATTTGCAATGGACCTGGTAGTGGAGAAACGGTCCCTTAAGGCCAATAATCTTAGGCGGCGATCTTCACGGTCTGTTGTTCTACGGCGGCGTCCAGTGCCCCTTGCTCTTTGCGTACGGCCTTCTCGAAGCCATGCCTGACAACACCTAACCAAAGTGTCTACACTTCTTTGCACTCTAACTGCAATTGCTCGAAAAGAAAGTCCAGCTTAACGAAGTCCCACTATACGACCCCTATCAAACTCACTAAGTTGACGAAATCGTACAGGTCTCCGTACTCTAGGCATCGTAACCGATCGTAAAGGGTGTCAAGAACCAAAATGCGCCAACGTTGATTCTTTAATGCGGCTGAAATATTCATTTTTAGAGCGTTAGTGAATTAAAAAAAAGGAGTATAAAAACCGGAATGTCCAACTGATAAGGCTGAAAATTTTTTCGCTTGTTATTTACAGTAAGATAAATACATTCACCAACTTTTATTAAAATAAAACCATTTAAACTGGGTGTTCGGATTTATATATCACTTAGTATACATATTCTCGTTATATAAATGATTTAAGAATGTACAGTCACGTTTCTCACTCAGTAGCTCCCATGAATTATACAACTTTGTCACATTTGTCATCAAAATATTAAAAACCTTAGGCAAAAGCTTGTTTATAGGAATTTTATCCACAATTCCAATACGGCCATCTACTCAGCTGCCAAAGCCATATTTCAACGCTCTTTCACGTACAATGCGGTGAAGTTGATTAATTCATTTGGCCAAGCTTTATTACCAACCTTTCAAAAAAACCTATAAGGTCTGTTTATTAAATGCCGATCAGGCGATTACATTTTTTCTATTACTGATTACTTTCCTTTAGGCTGTGTTAGGTTAAGGCAGCAATAAGCTTACGACATAATTAAGTATGAATGGCCAGAAATTGGCCAGACTCCGCCATTTGTAACTGTAGTATGTATTTGTTTCAATAAAGCCGATTTTACTTGATTGAGCGGTTTTTGAAATTACCGGTTCATTTAAAGTTGCACCATCCATAGCGCATATAAACCTGCCGCAAAATAGTGAGTAGTCTTGTAAAGTTATTATCCCTGAAGGTACTTTCACCTTTGCCATATGGATTGCTATGAACAAGATGAGTTATATCAATCCTTCTAACAGATACCAACAGCTGAAGCACGAAAAAGAGGAATCTGAAAAGCGGATCACCAAAGATTTTCTGCAACAGTTGAATGAGAAACAAATACTTTATGATGATGTAAGTGGACTATGGCGTTTTCTAGCACTGTAAGTTCATTTTTCCGACTAAAATGATTTTATCATAGAGCTAAAGCAAGTAAAATGCTGATACCGGTTGATTAGGGTAAAGTGGGGATGAATTTCCAATTAATACTGCTCTTATCAGTACCTTTTTCCGCGAATATCCTAAAAGATGTGTACCAATTCCAGTTATTGGTAGAACTGAGAGAAAAGGCGAAGGAACACGAATTAATAAAACAACAAATCGAAGATGATGCGGATAGGGAAATCTGTGAGTTGAAAGTCGCCCACGAGAAAGAACTGAAAGAAGAACAAGATCTTAACATCCGTCTGAGAGGAGAATCTGCTGTGGTTAAGAAAAAGTTTTTGGCTGCGCAGAAAGATTCCGAGGACTTGAAACACCAGGTTTGATATGGCAAACTATTATAGCAACTAATGCCCTATTTATCATGTGCGTGGCTGCAATTTGTTCTAAAAGTTGCAAATAGCAAGAAAATCTAAAACGTTCTTTAAAAATTCGATCTCTACATACATATCTCGAGGTGTTTTGATAACTATTTACAAAAAAGGACGAAAATCTTGAAGGAAATATGGGGTTCAATAAAGAGAGGTGAGTTAGGGAAGCTTAAGGAGGGTGGTAGGTCGAACGGCGGATTGTTTTGGTGAAAAAACTATGTTTACGCCTCAAATCTAATATCTCAGTACATTATACTCAATTTTAATCTTTTAACATTTAGGTTTATTCAATGGAAGCCGAACATATCAAGTTTAAAAACATAATTGTCGGACTAGAGAGGGAGAATGTGGACAACAAGAAAGAAATACAGGAAAGAGACCAAACCATTGAAGAGAAAGAGAAAAGAATATTCCAACTCAAAGGGAAAAATCAAGAATTAGAAAAGTTCAAATTCATACTCGATTTCAAGATTAAAGAACTCAAATCTCAAATCGAACCTAGAGAACGCACAATACAAGAACAGGTATTAACAATATTATAGATAGTAATGTTTGTTTGTTTGATTCAGATTTATTTAGCTTTATTGCTACTATATTCATAATATCCATATTACACAGTATATCACAAAATATACTATGTCTTCAAGATTACATATTTTTATACAAAATTTCACTACTATGAATTTTGGTTTTCCATAAGATATTTTTTCAGATTTCCGTTGAACATTTTCAAACTGACACACATCTTGATATCATTACTTAATTTATTAAATTCGTACAATGTGGTACTTACTCATTGTTAAATACAATAAAATTTTCTAAGTGATTTGGAAGAAGATGATTTTTTAACTTGAATATGAAAAGTAGGCTATGAAACTTTTGATATTTAACCAATGTAGTTCTTTCAGCATTAAATTTATTCTAGTATATTTATTTTTATTTAAGATGATTCTCATACCTTTATTTTGTAATATTTGTAATTTTGACAATACAGTTTCATTAGCAGTGAACAAAATAGTCGAACAATATTACAAATGAGGAAGAATGATGTTGTACACAATTTTTTTAGATTAAATGCTTAGGCTATGCGAAATTCTATAAAAGCAATTTATTTTCTTTGATATTTTTGAAATAGTATATTCATAGTGCCCTTCAGATTGAAATTTACTGTCTACGTATATCCCCAAATATTTAAATGATTCGATTGACACAATTTTTTCATGATTAATTGTAAGATTTATCGCATTTTGATCTAAAGATTCTCCTATTAGCATATATTTTGTTTTGTTTGTGTTTAGTTTAAGTTTATTTACATTTAACCAATTTCGAAGTTGAGTCATTTATTTTAACAGTGAGTAGATCTGATCAAAAGAAATGTTTTTTCCTTTAACATTTTTCTGTTAAAATTAAAGTAACAAAGTTATAGCCCTTTAGAAGTTTGAGTACCGCCCTGTCTCAATAATAATATTATGTGCTCGTGTTAGGCAACAACGGATATAATCCGCCTTATCGGTTCATTGCATCGGAAACAAAAAAGCGAAAGAATTTGAAACGGTTGTCACTACAATTTTATTCAGTTGTATTCAGTCAAAGTGTCAGTCGGTAACGCGTGAGTGAATAGTGGTGTTTGTTGCGTGGCTCAAACGAAATAAAAAATGGCACATGTTTACGAAAATGCTGAACTTGTGGACATGATTCTTATTCACGGGGGGGGGGGGTCATTACAAAATGCTGCCGCGGCATCACGGATTTATGCGGATCGGTTTCCCAATCGAGTGCAACAAACCCCTGTGTTAATGTAGTACAAAGGGCTCGTGAATCAGGTGACTTAAGACCTCACACGGGAGGGCATGCCGGGCTCCAAGACCGCATGATCAAATACAGGTCCGCACGATCAAATACAGGTCCGCACAGTAATACTTGTCGGGAGGATACTTTATAAAACAAGGTAACATTTTTTTTTTATTTTTACACACATATTTTGGTTTATCTTTCTTCTACAATCATTATCTAAAAATTAATGACTCAACTTCAAAGTCATATACAGGGTGACTTCGAAGTTGAGTCATTTATTTTAACAGTGAGTAGATCTGATCAAAAGAAATGTTTTTTTCCTTTAACATTTTTCTGGTAAAATTAAAGTAACAAAGTTATAGCCCTTTAGAAGTTTGAGTACCGCCCTGTCTCAATAATAATATTATGTGTTTGGCAACAACGGATATCGGTTCATCGCATCGGAAACAAAAAAGCGAAAGAATTTGAAACGTTTATCACGTTGTTTTTCGTCAGTCGGTAACGCGTGGGTGAATAGTGATGTTTGTTGCGTGACTCAAACGAAATGAAAAATGACACATGTTTACGAAAATGCTGAACTTGTGGACATGATTCTTATTTACGGGGGGGCAGTCTTTACAAAATGCTGCCGGATGCATCACGGATTTATGCGAATCGGTTTCCCAATCGAGTGCAACCAACCCCTCGTGCCTTTGTTAACGTAGTACAAAGGGCTCGTGAATCAGGTGACTTAAGACCTCACAGGTGAGAGCATGCCGGTGCTCCAATACTGCACGATCAAATACAGGTCCGCACTGAAATACTTGTCGGGAGGATACTTTATTAAACAAGGTAACATTTTTTTTTTATTTTTTTTTTTATTTTTACACACATATTTTGGTTTATCTTCCTTCTACAATCATTATCTGAAAATTAATGACTCAACTTCAAAGTCACCCTGTATAAATATATATATATATATATATATATATATATATATATATATATATATATATGAACAGTAGTCATTGCCAAAGCCAACGACCAGTTGGGTACAAAATACAATTAATTGTTGATTGGGAAATTGGCAAATCTCTTAGGCTTAAATTGACTCTTTTGACGATAAAATCAAGCTTTCGGCATTCTCTATGGAGCCTTCATCAGGATTCTGAAAACACAATTGTGATGCTAGCAAAGAAAACAGGAGAGATTTAAATTGTCAGGCAACTTACTCGTCGGTGAGGTTGCAGCCATATATATATATATAAAGAGAAAATTGTCATGCGGAGAAAGGTATATAACAAAAATAGGAAAATAATGGACAAAATCCGCAAAAAGTGGATTCGAGTAGAAAATAGGATAGGTAACCCGAGCGATACGTATTTCTGCTGGTTGGCTTCATCAGGCCCGAAATGAATGCACATATGCAACTACACATACTAACTACATATATCTCTCCAACTTTGTTTCCTCAGGTTACACCCGTATCCGGATGTATGGGCATGTGTCTCTACTTTTGTAGATCCCAATGTTTGTTGATGGATTTGTTGAACAGTGAAACTACATCTAGACTCGCAATAACATGATCAGGGGCTATTTGAAACCTATTAAATTGTTGACAAACATCAAAAGAGTCTTTTATAAAGTATTCTCCTTTGATGTGAGCTGACTTTAGAGTATCTGCAATTAATGAAGATAAAGCTAGTGTGACTGATTCAACAGAAGCCACAATCGGTATTACTGACAGTACCGGTTTGTGTATTTTGGGAAGAGCATAAAATAATTTGGGAGAGACAGAATTATAAGTGATTAAGGACTTCTTTTGGTCCTGGTTGATTTAACCAGTGCTGAGTAGCTTGTTAACAATGTCATTGCAACCGTTCTCTACTTTAGATGTAGGGTCTTTATTGATAACCTTGTAAGAGGGATCATTATCAATCATATTATTACATAGGCCAAAATATTGTTGTCTTAACATAATTACGGTAACATTGCCTTTGTCTGATTTTGTAACAATTAATTTGGGATGATCCTTAATAAATGTCCTTGTTTTGTTTAACAGGTTGTGGTAGAAAGAGTATTTTTTGTTAATGCTACTGTTGTGAAAGTAATTTTTTTTGTTTTTTACCACGAAGGCCTAAGGCCTAAGCACCCATTGGGTACCGTGGGGCTATAGCGGGATACATGGGAAAGGGGGAACGCCACACGGACTCTGGACAAGATCCATAGCCAAGAGAAAAATTTCTCCTGGGACGGGACTCGAACCCGCACAGCGCACGGCGACTGATCAGGAGATCGAAGAGTCTAATACTGCGGCCACCGCTGCTGCCTGAATGATATAATGATAATATTGGTGGAACGAGTTACCGCAATGTTCCTTTCTGTGTCATAACTAATGGAAGAAGATATAGAATCAACATAAGTCGGAATATGTCTGATTGCAATGTCACTGTTGACAAACGGTTCAACGATAAATTTTGGACCCAACGACAGAAAACTTGTGATGTCATCTGGAATGCTGACATTACTGAGGTTCTTTACCCAGTTTGGCTGAGTGTTGAGCAAAATTCTCATTGTGTCACTTAGTAACCTGTCAAACTTGCGTATATTCGAATTTTTGATAGAATGGAACAATGTATTATCATGTCTTAATTGTCTCGATTGAAAATTATCGTCGCGTCAATCACTTATGTCTCTGTCGACGTTTTATCTTTCCGTGCCGTCCCCCTCTCCACGTGTAGCGGAAGTAGAAGGTTAGAGACTGCATTCCGATTGTTTCAAAAAAATGTCGCCTCACGTGTAATATTTTTAATTTGTTCGGGTAGATTGATATTTTTAACATGTAACGAAGGTATCTGTCGTTTTCAACAAGCCCAATATCCCGTCCTTTTTTTATACTGGTTACAAGTTCTATCTTCTCTACGTTCGTTTTGAAACATCTTGTGGCTGCAACCTCACCGACGAGTAAGTTGTCTGACAATTTAAATCTGTCCTGTTTTCTTTGCTAGCATCTCAATTGTGTTTTCAGAATCCTGATGAAGGCTCCATAGAGAATGCCGAAAGCTTGATTTTATCGTCAAAAGGGTCAACTTACGCCTAAACAATTTGCCAATTTCCCAATTAACAATTAATTGTACTTTGTGCCCAACTGGTCGTTGGCTTTGGCAATGACTACTGCTCATATATATATATATATATATATTAATGTAACATCAGCAAATAGTTGATTTTGCAGTGGTATAAAATATCAGGAATATCGTTAATATATAAAATAAATAGTAATGGACCTAATTTGCCACCCTGTGGCACACCTACCGAAATGTTTTCAATGTTTGATAATGTATTGCCAATTTTAGTTCATTGACTTCTATTGATTAAATAATTTTATAATGACGTGAATACTGAACCTTGAAATCCATAGCAATGCAATTTCGTTAAAGCTTTCTCCCTGTGAATAATCTCAAATGCTCTCTTGAAATCTAAGAACAATGTTAATGTAAACCTTTTTTCATCCATATTTCGCCTCCATTCTTCGATTACCTTTTGAATTGTTGTTTCAGAAGAATACTTTTTTCTGAATCCTGCTTGAAATTTTGTCAATATCTTATTTTCTTCAATATATTCAACGACTTGTTCATATATGATTTCTTCTAAGAGCTTCTCGACATCTGGCAGTACATTAATTGGCCGCATGCTTGTATACAACTCAGAATTTTGCACTTTTGGAACAGGAGTAATTGTAGAACATTTT